CTGGGGGGATTTACACCCGTGATTTAGGTGGGGTTGTTCCACACTTGCTCTGCAGAACTTGGACCAAAGGTCAGAAAGCTGAAACGGGACGAGGTCTACATGGCTCAGCGGACACCCTCCTCGAACTCCATGGCAGCACACAAGTGGCACACGATCCACAATCCTTTTATCCTTGAGATCTTCCTGCAAACATCTGTAGCTGAACAACCGCAACGCACGTAATGACCACGGCCCAGCTGCACTTCCTTGAAAATGAAGCAATCCTACCACCAAGGCCCCACGCAGCAAGGCTTTGCCAAGGCAGTGGGACAGCTTTCTAAGAAGAAATGAGTCATTTTTAGAAGCTGGCACATGCGAGTGAGGGAAAGGCAGACCCACAAAGACAGCAAAATTCTGGCACTCTTACAGCTCGCTCAGACTTTGAGTCTTGCCTTTAAATCCATTCAGAGACAATCGTTTTGTTATTTGCGGGCAATGTTACTCCTGCTGGATCCCCATCTTTGTTACCCCCTGATGCAGATGTCTGCGGAAAAAGCGACCGAGCATCATTCCCAGCAGAAGCGTTGCGCTCCCTCCCTCCTAGAGTTTGCAGCTGGCAACTCCTCTGCTGCTGGGTGGAAAAAGCCACCCTCCCGCAGCGGCTTCTGCTGTGACAGATTTGTGTGGGCCATCACGCCAGGGGTAAAGCCCCCCCAGTAAGCACCACCCCAGCAAGAACCACCCCAGCTGCTGAGGAACGGACCTTAAAGGTCACCGGAGAAGGGTATCAGGAACGGATACCGTGATGCACTTGCTGTCCCTACCTGGAAGGTGCTCGGATGTGAAGCGTCCCGTTCTCCGCACGACGGGCTGCAGCCTTCTGGGGAGGGTGCTGCAGGAGGCAATGCCTTCACGCACACCTCTGCGTCTGGGGGAAAAAATAAAGAAGAAGAAGACAGGCTTGTAATGACTCGTGAAGGGGAAACCAAACAGAGGTCCTAAATAAGAATAACACCAAGGTTAGAGAAAAGGAATCGCACTTCAGAGCAAATAAATTAAAAACCCAGACTCTTGTCATATCTCCTAAATGTTCTGGTTTCTCTTCCTTTAATAATACTTTGGGTTTCTGCAGAATCTTTACCTTTATTTTCTCCTTGCTAGGAATTCCCTCCAGGCCCTATGTTCTTTCACCTTTTCACTTTCTATTTCTGCTACGACTGAAGAAACACAGAAGAAGAACATAGTTTTTCTCCTAACCAAAACTTCTCAACGCTTTGTTTTGATGCATTTTGACAGTTTCACAGTTCTCGGAAAAAATATTTAGACTGAAAAGAAGCAGTCGCTAAAGTTTTCCCTCCTAGTGAAAAGGGCATTTCCATTAAAAGAACAACAAAAGTACTCGAGATAGGTTTCTCAGCCAATGTAATCTTGGCCTGCACTGAAAAAAAGAGTCAATAAATGCAGATTTGGAGGTAACGTTGCTTCCCAGGTCATGTGGATGCCTTGAATTAATAAATCAGGGTGGAAAACTCCTTCCACTGAAAATCCAAGACAGCCAGTCCCTTTCTTCTTCATAACCACCAGCCCTAAAAGCCTTGCAGGCTGAGCAATGCCTTCCCCAACACCTGGACAAAGCTTGCTTCCAGGTTTTGTGCCTCCTGAGTCCTGGGCAAGCCAAGGGTTTGACAGACCCCACCCCCCCAAACCTGGAAGAGCCCTTGGGAAGGACCCTGACCCCTTTTCGCTGCCAGCACCGCGATGCTGCATTAGCAGGAGGGAAAGGCGAGCTATAACCCCCCGCCGGGAGGCTGAGCCGGCCGGGGCGCGTGCAGGGGAGGGTTACGCCATCCTGCTCCTGGAATAAGAGGCACCCAGTCCACTGGCATTCACCATTCAATGCTTGTTGCAGGTGCTTCTCTTACTTTCTCAGTTTGCTACCAGAACTGCCTGGGTGGGGAAATACCCAAGAACTTTTCTTATAGTTGCAGAAGGCACAGCTAAGGGTCCAGAGGTTCTGCTCAGGGAGGTATGTGCTGCCCCGCGGCTGAAAGTGCCAGCAGGAAAAGCTTCTCCCCAATTTTTTTCATATCTGGTGAACATCAGGCCCTTACTACAAAGCTTTGCCGGGCTGGAAATCTGCACCAGTGTAATTTAGGGCACATCAGCACATGAAAGTGAACTTAATTTAAGTGAGGGCATCACTTGACACGGCAATAGCTTTTCTCAATTAACTCCGCATGTAGGAAAGACCTTGAAATGCATTTTAAACTGCTATATTAAGGCCCTGTAAAATCCTTTGTGAACGCTATTATTCTGGCTCACTTTAAACCCGATACCCCAACCTGACATCAATACAAGGGTTGCAACCGTGACTTAGTAAGACATAACTATGCAGCTGAGTTGCGATAACACTTAACCCGCTGCAACACAACACCCTGCCAGTGACTCTGTACCATTTCTGCAGGGTTTTTGTTTGGTTTGGGTGGGTTTTTTTCTGATGCAAGGGCTGAGTCCTCTGAGACACCAAGCCAGCCCTCCCGGCACATCCCTGGGTACCATCCCCACCGTGCCAGCAGCCCAGCATCCCGCTGTGCACCACGCAGTACGAGTGGGTGATGCGGCACGGCGCCCGCTGGGGGTACCGGAGTTACACGCTCCCGTTGATTTGACCGCTGCGGGTCAAAATTAGCCCTGCCAAGTACTCCAGTAAAGCAGGTATTACTGGTCACGGTTGTTGAAGGCAAAATATTTGATGTCACATTAGTGCTGGGCTGGGTCTGTGCGTGTGGTTCATTAAAGAGGCTCAGCCAGAGAGTGGTAATTTGTTAAGCTGCATAACTTAATTGCTTGCAATCATCTGCCTATCCCCACGCTAAGCTACTCCTGACATGAAAGGCGGCTTGGAACTGTGTGTCTGTTAAAATTTATTCTTTTGGCTACTGAAGTGCAACTTCTGCAGGCAGGTAAGACTGAACCATTCCCCTTCCAGTTATCACGTGTGGGCAGCTCTGAGCACCAGCCTGCACCAGCTCTGCTACTGACAAACATTGGGGCCTACAAGAAGCCCCAATATTCAAAATTTACCTCAAAACTCAGCCTGACCTTTCAGCAAACAGCTGGCCACAAAGAGGGATGCAGAGCCCCCGGCCAGGCGAGCCCCCACGGGCGGCTGCAGGGAGCCGGGCTTGCGCCTGCTCCTCCCTGCGGGCAGAGAGAAATCAAAGGCTGAGCCCTAAAAAATGAAGGAGCCTTTTCTGCTGCTCAGCTCACTACAGAGAAGGTTCCTGTGATTGCCTGGAATGAGCCAGGACCGAGAAAGGCTCTGGTGCCTTCCAGAAGAGCCAGTGCTCCTGTGCATCCAGATACAGCTGTGTCCCATGGCAATGCTTTTTAACACGCTGAAAATTGGACTTTAATCCTAAGAAAGATCCTAATTCCCTCTAGTGGAGAGAGGGTGGAAATTCTAGCTGCAAGGCTCAGCAATCCAAGCAATCCACATCCAAGTTCTGAGGGGCCGCCAGCTCTTGTGCTGGCCCATTCAGGGCTACCTCAGCCCACAAGGAAAAACCCCAAGTGACAAGCTGGAAATTCCTATATTATTTCCTCTTATCCGGAACTTTTATTTCAACATAATTGAAAACTTGTAAAGACAAGCTTTTGTTCATTAGAAATAAGACTGGTTTGTCGCTTTTTTTTTTTTTTTAAATGGCTTTTCACGCTGAGTAGAACATTGACTCCTTTAAGAAGAAGAGCATGTTAATGGGCATGGGGCTACTCAACAGGGAAACTGAACCTGTGAAAACTCCACTAATTGTAACTCATGCTTCTTGGCTACTTTGCTGTGAATCTGTGGTTTTCTGGGCTTAAAATATCAAATTATCCTCTTGCATTTGTATGTGCAGGTAGTGGGTTGCATGTTCAGGTCTACTGAAGGGATGCTCTCAGCTGCAGGGCCAGGTGCCCATCTCAGCCACGTCCTGGCCCCATGCTGGCACAAGTCCCCTTGCCTCCCAAAAAGTACCGATCAAAGGCACTACGGCACCTCACTGCAAGTCCCTGACTTGGATGATGGGAGACCTCAGAGCACTCCTCCTCCCCATGGCATGACTTCCGGAAACTAAGTCCATTCAAAAAATTACAACTCGTTGCCATAGGTTGCAACCACAGACCTGGTATCACTCTGTACATCTGCTGGACTAATGTCTTACTGGTACTAGTGCAAGGATGCCTTTTTTAAATGGCTTTTCACGCTGAAAAATGAAATATTTTATTTTGCAATGCCGCGGCTGGCAGGTCTGAGCTGCTCCGAAGATGGCGATTGCCGTGGCGTTTCCTCCCCGGCCACCGCCACGTCCCTCGGGCAGCTCGGCGAGCACACGCACGCTCTCATCGGTGGCAGACAAACCAGGACAACTTTATGGCTGATGTAAATCAGAGAAGCACCGCTGGCTTTGGAGGAGCATTGCAGATTTATGCCAGGAGCTGACCCGGCATCTCTATTTTCAAAACTAGGGCAGATTGAAATATGCTGTTTTTCAATAATATATTCAGGTTAACAGGGCTTTTATATTTGGGCAATTAATCTTGCATAGACTGAGAACCTCTTGGGACAACGTGCAAAGGTTGCTAAGAAGAGGAAAACAAACACAGTTGTGTAACTCGGTTCTCCCATGTCTTTTCTTTCATGAACACACATTGCAGGGGGACGGCAGAGCTCTGGAACCCGGCAGCAACAGCACTTCAATAATCAGCAGCATGCCGAGACACCGTATAGGAATGACTTCACAAAGAGGTAGTATTACCTCATCTTGTATTACTGTAAAATGATTCAAACCAGAAATACTGAGGCATAAAGCTGCGGTGAGAGAGGAAAGCCAATACTGTGCTAGAGAAAGCCTTTCCAGTTTCTTCCAGGACCGTCCCCTCCCGCGGCACGTGCTCACGTACCGAAGGGGGGCCTGGGCTGTGCACGCACGCTTGTCTCGGTGTGTTTGTGCACAGAATTTGTGCTGGATTTAAAATCACTCTGGGTCCCCGTGCTGATCCCTGGTCAGTGCCACCAAAGACTCTTCCCAAACCTGACCCTTGTCCTTCTGCGCTCCCTCTCGCTGCCTCTCCTGCCCACCTGCCCCGCAGCACTCCCGCTACCTGCCAGCGTCCTCAGCTCGGTCAAGACCTAATGAACACTGCAGCTGATCTGCTCCTTATTACCCCATTTCTCCATGTACCTCCACGTCTTCACTTCTCCTTTTCTTTGCCCTAAAGCTTCAGTAAGACTGAAATGGGACTTTCAGGCCTGTAATTGCCTCTGCTATTTTTTTCCCCTTTGCATTTGCTATTCCCCAGTCATGCAGCATCATCCCCAGCTTCACAGATTTACCAAGATCCTCATGATTCACACAGAATCCCAGACTGGCAGGGGTTGGAAGGGACCTCGGGAGCTCACCCAGTCCCACCCCCCTGCCCAAGCAGGCTCACCCAGAGCAGGGGGCACAGGACAGCGTCCAGGCAGGGGTTGAATATCTCCAGAGAAGGAGACGCCACAGCCCCCCTGGGCAGCCTGGGCCAGGGCTCGGGCACCCTCCAAGTCAAGAAGTTCTTCCTCACGTTCAACTGGAACCTCTTGTGCTTCAGTTTGTGCCCATTGCCCCTTGTCCTGGCGCTGGGCACCACTGGGAAGAGTCTGGCTTTGTCCTCGTGACATCCATCCTTGAGATATTTGTACGTGGTGATGAGATCCCCTCTCAGCCTTCTCTTCTCCAGGCTGAACAAGCCCAGCTCCCTCAGCCTTTCCTTGTAGGGGAGATGCTCCAGTCCCTTTATCATCCTTGTTGCCCCCCTCTGGACTTGACGCTTAGTTTTTAATTCTTCCAGCATATCGGGCTCCAAAATGGCCCGGGAATACAACGGCTGTATGCCAAGCAAACCAGTAATCATGGGTTTGTGCTCAAACTACCAACTACTTGCTTTCCGCCCAAGCTGCCAAAGCCTGGTGTGGGCAACGCGGCCCAGCAATCTGTGCGGTGGCCGCCTCAGCGGAGAGGTGGCCGACTGCGATGGAAACCATTCGGTCGCATGCAGTAGCTGCGCGTGGCGTGGCAGAAGTTTCCAATCGCAAATAGCAACCAACTGGGAAAGGATACGCAGGTGGCTACCACTTGATTAATGTGTGCTGCATCTGCTATTTCCAAGTGGCAATTACACTACATAAACACGCCGCTGCAATAGCAGTGCATTGATTTATGCTAGCCCCAAATCTGTCCCTTCACACCGTTTTTTTTTTCTTTCTTTCTCCTCCCATAAAAAATAATTTCCTTCTGAGCCCAGTAAAACAGAAGATCCCATTGGTTCTATGTTATAACGGTAATATCGCATTCTGCTAGGAACCAGCAATTCTGCCCCTGGCCATGAAATTCAGGTAATGACCCATAACTGAAGTAAATTAGTGTTTAATTTCCCATCCCTTGCAGAGAGCTTACTAATGGAAATTGATTTCTAGCTTTTTTCTTTTTCATTTAACATGCTTGTGTAATGTCTTTATTTTAGATTCAAGTGGGTTTCTGTGAATTTTAGCCAAAAGGCTGATGTACAGGCGGCCACCGAAGGCATCTGGTTAATCAGGGTTGTGTTAAAGGGTGCATGGGGGACGGGCAGGGCAGGGACACCCTCGTACAGGCAGCGGACACATCCTCAGATGGAGCAAATCAGCAGAGCTCACATCCACGCAACGGGCATGGAAGCCCTGCTGTTATGGACCTGATCCCTCACGCACGAGCTCTTATACAATTACCATGTTCGTTTGTACACAAGACACTTTAATTTATACCTTGGCATGCCCAGTGCACTCCCAGAGAGATAAAAAGGGGCTTCTCTGACCTACGGACAAGATGTTTGTCCTCAAGCCAAGCCAAGAGCCTCCGATGTCGCATCTTGGTGCTGTCTGGGCCCAGAAGCCGGTCCTGCCCTCCGCACCGTTGCTCCAAAGCCCTTGCAATTCTTGCCCCAACAAACGTGGGCTCTTTTGTGTAATCTGATGCAGCCACAGCCGCCGCACACACCCCCTTTTTTCTCCTATTTAGGTAAAACTCAGCAAACTATCTGTTCCATGTACAGCAGCACCAGCATTAGAGACAGAAGGTGGCCTTGGATGTCCAACCCTTTTTCTTCACGAGGGAGAGAAAGGCAGCAAGAGACGGTAAGGGTTTTTTTACAGCTCCTGCCCCATTAAGTTACAACAGCTGCGAGACAAAATAAGGTTTTATAACGGCGCTGTGTTATTGTCCACCCTCAAGTTACTTCTGCAAGCTATCGGATTCATCTGGCGACTCCAAAGGGGTTGGGAGGAGGGAAAAATCTACTTTTCCCATTTAACTTTTCTGAAATGCTATGGAGGACCCAGAACTCAGCTGGTGCTGTTTTACACTTTAAAAGCAGGACTAACAGCTATTATTTTTCTCAGTGTTCGGCTGATTTTCTGGTTCCATAGACACTTTAATAGCGCTATAAATCGCCTGGTAAAGGAATTGTTAGTTAGAGACAGTGTCTGGGGTATTTGTCCCTTATTGATGTGTAAATTGGCTTGTACTGCTGGCGTGTGTTTCTAAAGATGAATGCTTTGTAGCGTGATGATAATAATAACAATTAGCATAGGATATAGCAAAGCGTTAATTGAATTAAAATCCCAAACAGAGATGCCCGTGCCGATCAGGCCTCTCCTCCAGCTCCCTGTTGCTCAGAGTGCCAGGGACATTTCCCTGGGTGAGGGAACTTTCTGTGCCTGCTTTCCTCCCCTTGCATTGCTAAACACCAATCCTCCCCGAGTGCATTTGCTCAGGTACATTTTCCGCTTCTGCTGATAGCACAAAACTGCTGTGCTCCTGACGACTCCTATGCGTTATCCCCGACGAATGCTAATTTGAGTTTAATTCCTTAATGGATCAAAAGGGAAGGTGAATATAGAGACCAAAGGAAGGAGGACGGAAGACTGGCAGGTCCAGAGCCCTTAAAGTATAATGGCAGGGGAAGATACGGGACAAGAGAACAAAATGCTAGATGTTATCCTTATCACCACTCTCTTGTGTGGGAGCATAATGTAATTATTAAAGTAAATGTTCCTTCCTCTTATGCAAGAGGAAGACCATGAGCAAGTTAAGAAGCTGCTCCTGTGCCTCAGTTTACCTGCTTATGGAGATGAGAAGCCACCTCTGCCCGCTAGGGCTGCAGGGAGGATTAAACAGGGTTCACCGAGGACTTAAAATTTGCTGTAAGGATGTTGCTTTGTTATAGACCTCATTTAAAATATAAATCCATGGGGAAAAATTAGATGAAGTCAGAATGGACAGGGTTTTCTGGGCATGACCTGTCTGGGTTTTCACGTTCAGAATGGCATGCAGAGGAGAGATAACGGCTCTGTCGAGATGCGCAGTCTCTGTGAACTTGGTGTGCTTGACTTGGGCACTGGGAGGAGGAATGATAAAAGTAACCGCAGTCTTCTCTTCCAAGAATACAACTGCCTTAGCTGAACCCTGGCACACAAATATTGTAAGAAGCCATGAAATAGCAGAGCCACTTTGCTGGATAGATCAAGGGGAAAAGTTGAACCGTGACAGAAGTAAGGGTAATTATTTCAGAGATGGGGAGGTGGGCAGAGGGGAGCCAGCGGCAGAGATGAATACAATGTTCAATACTTACCTTCTACCTTCTGCCTTAGAGACTAAAGTGGGATACAGGCAAAAAGCTTGAAAGGTCAAAGTAGGAAAAAAATGTCCTTTAAAAGTTATAATCAATTATTGTTTTTAACTTACAGCAGGGAAAAGGCTACCTCAAGCCACCAAGGAAGGATGTGGGTTTCTACTCTTGTTTTTACTGTCCTGCCTCACATTGGAGGCTTCCTTAGCTGGTTCTTTAATCGAAAAGAAATGCCTGTTTGGCATGAGAAGCTGAAAAAGCCTTCATGGTGTCCACCTTGCAAAATACTCTCTGTTGCTTGGAGTATCCTGTACACTGTCATGGGGTAAGTTCTGCACACCGCTGCCTCTCTCCTCCTGCTGTTTCTGATATGCAAAAGAGGAGCCATTTCAAACCCTTTTATTTGCTTTTGGGATATCCCTGGTACCTGGAATCAGCAGGGCACGTCAGGTACCTTTATTCCCAGCAGATGAAGTACAGCCTGAGCCAAATTCTGAGCTGAGTTCCTCCAATTCACACTGCAGGCAACGTTTTTGGCCAGGGACACAGCCCGGGCTCGGCTTTGTAAACAGATACTAAACACAGCCACTGCCCCGGGGAAGCTGTACGAGCCACGCAGGTATGAGACAGGCGATGGGCTTGAGGGTAGCGAGGGACACGGATGCAGCTGTAGTGCAAACACGGCTGCCCTGCAAATCCCTGTTGCAAAACAATCTTACATGAAAAGACTTTGTCTGTATTTAGGATTTACTCACTGCAAACCACTAAATGCGTTTCCCTCTTCACAGCTATGCCTCCTACCTGATATGGAATGACCTGGGCGGCTACAGCAGCAAAATTATCATCCCACTTGGCCTCTACGGGGCTCAGCTGGCCTTGAACTGGGCTTGGACGCGCTTATTCTTCCGTGCACGTAACCTGAAGATGGTAATGTATCCGGCCATCCATTCATCTGCTGGAGGCTTGTTTGCTGGTGTCCCTGCCAGACGGGTTTTGGGGCTGTTTGGAGGTTTTCTAACTAGCATTATGCAATTGTAAAGAGAGGAGCAAGAAGAGCTTTTGCTCAGGTATCGTTCAGATGCTGCACCTGGTTCCAGACCACGGTATCAGTCCCTTCCACCCCTCACCCTGCTCTTGCCATGCAGATAGCCGGCCCGACCAGAGTGGGGTGGGAGATCAGGGAGTCAATAGTCCAGCTGCTGCACCTCCTAGTTAAGGATTCGGGGTTAGAGATAAGCCCTGCTGGGAGTCACACCCTGCACCGGCAGGCAGCAAAGTTAGCATCCCTGGGGGGGCATATTAGCTGTGAGCGCCTTATCGAGCAAATGCAACGCACTGCAGAGCCTGTTAGAGGATGTGCATGAAGGTAAGGCACGGCACGGCAGAGGTGGACCTGTGATATATTCAAAACGCAGCTCCCTGAGGTGCTGGAGGTACTGGAGGTGCAGAGTGGGACTTAGGTTTCCATCTGAATTTTGTCACTCTGTAGATGAAAGGTACATTTAGAAAGTTTAAGCGGTGATAGCTATCAGTACTAACACGAGCACGTTTCTGATCCGTCCGTTTTGACATTACCAATAGAAGGGGGCACTGATCATCATGAATGGTGTATTAATCTGCGGAACTCAATAATGAACAAAAAAAATTAACATTAGTCTTGGCTCCTGGGGTTTAGGATGGCTCTAGGTGACTTTTCAGTGCTACTCCTCCCCCATTCCCATTCCATCTCACCACCTTTAGTAGGAGGGGTTACAGCCATGCTGGGGAAGACTGCTGCCTGTTCCCAAAAGCAAGCCCCAGAGTCACTGTCCTCTCTCTGCTCCAGGCACTGGTTAACGTCCTGTGCTTGGACGGCCTGGTGATAGGCACGGTGTTCTCCTGGTTCCACATTAACAAGATAGCAACGCTGCTGATGGTGCCTTACCTGGGCTGGCTGGCCATAGCCACTTATCTCACAATCCGCATCTGGAAGGACAACCCCGAGGAAAAACCAAAAAAGAATGAATAAGAGCAGGACAGAAATGAAGGCATTTTGTGTAACTAAACTATGCTGATGTGAACCAAGATCTAATCATCTGTGGGATTCCATTTGGGACAGGCATGAGAACATGCCTCCTCCTCCCACCTTCACCGTGGTTGTGTAAAAGAAAGAAAGGTTTGTGCTGTGCACCCATGGGCTCCTTTAGAGAAACTGTACATCCTTAACCTGGGAACTATTTTCTCCAGCACTGTTGAGTTTGGGGCTACAGCTGCATAGAGACCTTAATGCTATCAGGTCAAATTCCATTAGGCAAATTAAGACTTCATGATACGGGCATAATTCAGAGTACCAATCCTGGACATCCCTCAAAACTGCTACCATTCCCCCAGAGAGCAGAACTTGTTCACACCCATGGTAAATCCCATCTGGGACCAAACAAAAATGCCCTTCACTCATGCACGCCAATTTTTAAGAACTTACTTGATTTTTTTTGCTATTTGTGCTGTTGCTTCATTTTCATGTATCACCTGGTTTGTGCTTTATACCGTTAACTTTTTATCTGTCAGCTACTGAGCAAGCAGCAATCAGTCTTGTTCTGCTAGTGGAAGGAGACTGGGCACTTTGACTTCTATTTGTGGAGTATCGTGCTTCCTGAGTTCCATGCTCCAAGATAAAGCAGCAATGATTAGAATGCAAATGCTTCTCCCAAGAGGAAATGGCTTTCTTCCACCTCTGTGTGCTATTTCTCATCAGAAAAGAAAAAATGAGCATCAGTGCCTTTGAAAAAAAAACCTTAATTTTTTTTTTTTTTTTAGTACAGAAACACAAGAGCCTTTGTAAAATTCAAGAACTTGCTCAGAGTGCCTTGAAAATTGTAATTACATGATTGGCAAAAAGCCCCATGACAAGTCCATCGGGTGCAGTACGGGTATCTCATCCTGGAGTCTTTCCATTCCTGAATATTATTAATCAGGAAAGGTTCCAGAGAAATGGGACCAAGCCACAAGAGAATCGGACAGAAAAGGTGCATGGACTGGCCCTTGTCCATCCTTTATTCTAGCTCTTGCCTTTGATAGATTTGAACCTTTGATGTTGCTGTATATAGAGAATATTTACTATTGTTTTTTAATTGATAGAAGTAATGTATGTGAAGAAACGTGGTAGCTGGATCTTCTTTCTGGCAGCTGACTGTAGATTAAGGTGGGTGGGTATACTTGCAAAGAGGGGGGTAGGAGGGCTCTTAGCTGGGGATGTAAAATAAATTATATTTGCTTTTAATAAAACCAAGCTGCTTTTGTTTGGAGAATAAATAAATCCAAGTTATTCTTGTTTTACTGGTTTGGTTTGCAAAATTTCTAGGGGATCCTGTCTGGAGTCCATGGCTTGTGCTCTGGCTCCAAAGGGAAGGGGATCGGCAGCAAGGCCCTGCCGGGCTCCGGCGGCCGGACTCATTCCCGGGTGTGTGTTAGGAGTAAATGGGCTGTCTGGGTTTTGAGCCTAAAGGTCCCAAAGGTTCCTTCAGCTGGGGGACCTGCACACCGGAGACACGCTCCCTTGGGCACGCATCCCCATGACAGGCTCCTCCGTTACACTTCACCCTCAGCTTCAAGGTAAGGAAGGTTAATTCTCGGGTTTGGGTCCTTCCTGAGTCACATCAAGCCAGATTTTTAGAGATGCTGAATATTCCCGGGTCCCACTCACGCAAATGGCAGAGCTGGGTGCTCAGCGTGACTGAAAGCTGGGCCCAAGAGAAACAAATGCCAGTAGCTGAGAGCAGCTGAAATTTGTCGCACCTTTTTTAAAATTTGGTCATAGATCTTGTGCTGTCACTTTGATCCCATCCATTATTTTTTCCTTCTAGCTCCGGGACACCTTTGCACAGGACTGCTGCTGCAGGCAGATTGCTGTAATCTCCCCAGTAAAAGCTGCAGAAGAACAGGCCATGGAATAGCTGCGGCTGTAAGCAGGAGCAGGACTATAAAGCATGAGCATTGCAAGCAGCGCTAGGAAGATCATAAGCTACTTTAAAAAAAAAATCCTATATATTCCAGGGCTTTATATAACTGTATGTTACCACTGTGCTTATTTACAGTTATGCCTCGTCTGTGTCTTCCACAAAGCCACATGCCAAAGGACAGGAAGACATAAATTATTTCTTCCTAAAAAGAAGCTAATAGCTGGGCTGGAGATTCAATTCAGTGGAGTTAAGAATGATTTAGGGCCCTGAACATCATCATGCCTGTCCTTCACTGGTTAGCATGGCAAAGGCAGGAGGAATAGCGATGAGCAGAGCCACCTAGTGAAGCCAGGAGGGATCAAGCAAGTCTCTACAGTGACCTCTGCTTTTGAAAAGGGGAAAAGTATTATTTAAATCACATTTAAGTTGGTGAGCCTAGATCTGGTTCAGACCTGCAATACGTTAATAGCATTTCCAAATTAAATACATGGATGCAAATTTGATCAGCTTTCATAAATCAGTCCTCTTTCCCCCTCTACCCATATTTTTTCTGCAGGTAAAGGAAAATCTGGAATTAAGAGTAACAGATTTTTTTTGATCTTTTGATGTTTGCCCTCCCCATTTTCCCAACAGGGGGGGGACCAGCTTGTTCTTGTCTTCATTTCAGTTCCTCTTCCTTCCAGTCCACCTCTAAGGGCACTGATAGCTTCTCTTTGCTACCGGCATTTTCTTGCAGGCAGCAAAAATAGCAAACGTTCCTATATGTGATATATACAATGGCTTGAAATCAATTGACAAAGTTAAATTCAGCAAAGCACCCTCTTTTATTAATATTTAAAGCATCATTTAGTATATTTGCTATTTAAACAGATACACTAAAACCCCTTGGGTAAAAATAACTTTAATGACATTGCAAAGTCAACCATCTAGAAAATATTTCAGCTATATGGTGCAGTGCAGACCAAAATCAGCTTCCGCTGTTGTGCATCTGGAGGAGCCCTGGTCTCCCATCAGTGCTGTGTAACGGGGCTTGTGCTCCTGGTCACGCGATGCCTGGAAGAAGCACGAGGCCACGCAGCCCTTGTCTGGCTCCGTCCCTGTGTTACAAACAGACCAAAGGGAAGAGGAAAAACCGAAACAGAGGGGTCCTAGAAATTTAAAGCACAGGTAGGAACCTGCCTTGCTAAAGTCTGTGGAATGCTGCCTCTGAGTGAGAAAGGGGATTTCACCTGAGGTCTGCTGGGCATGAGCACAGGGCTCTCCCCCCTGCCATGCACCATCTTCCCAAGGGTGCCCTTTTTCCCAGGGGATCCAGAAAGAGCACTGGGATGTTTTGCTTATGGCAGCATTAACCAGGCGGCAGGCAGGCTGGATCACCTCAGCAGGCATGCAAGGTGTTTGTCTAGCCCCCCCAAAATTAGCTTATGGAATGGATATCCTCTCCCACCCAGCGTCAAGGAACATTCATAGCCCACGACGGGACATGTCGCGGTCTACATGATTCAAGCAGTGACTCAGACAAAGGCCGTGCATTCGTGACAGCTTTCATGGGGTCGTGGCATTTAGAGAGAAGAGCCACCTCTCAGATCACCATGTCTAATGATGATCCCTCTCTTCAAACTTCAGTCAGTCTTTCCAGAAAGATGTATTTGATATTAAACTGATCGTTACATTTGATCTTAGCCCAAAGGGCACATCCCCAGCTGCTGGATACGCAATATTTGTGCATAAACAAAATCTTTCTGCCTTTCAGTCCAGCCTCTTTTCCTAAGCCCTGTCTCATTCAATAATTTACCAGCTGTTCCAGAAAACACTCTGGCTTCAGCAGTAAGGAACTTTAATTGATTTGCTGATGTCTGGAGAGATGTTAAAATATAGAGTCAAATGCTAGAGAGGATTTGCTGCTGTGTGCATGTAAACTTCAGAGAGCTGACTACAGGCCAGCAGCTCTCCCACCACCCCTTCGTTAGCACCGAGTGGTGCAGGATATAAATTCCTGTGGCTTTGAGCACCTGCAGCATGGCTGGGGCTGACCTTCCCCTTCAACTGCTCCCAGTAAAACTGCAGCAGAAACCCAGCAGGAAGGAGGTTGTGCTGCTCGGAGCTGTCATTAACTTGCAGTTGGGCTTTGAATTAATCAGCCAGCCAGCAGGGTCTGCCAACAAAACAGACTCCTTCCCAGCTCTGCAGCAGCACGGTACTGGGTGTGCAAGGGTTGGGGATCACGGGCCAGGCAGGCCCAGGCTTTAGGTGCGAAGATAAGGCAGGCAAGGAGGCGAGAGCATCGCTAATCTCTGCCTGCACCACAGCGCACGTCAGCTCTGGGGTAGCACCTTTCTCGGGGAGCTACCATCCCGCACAGAGGGACATAGGCACTGTCCAGGTCGAACCCATGGGATGCTGCAGTGGCCAACACCAGTGTTTCCTGCCCCTTCTTAAGTCTTGGCATTGTGGTCCTGCAGCAGGAGGAGAGAGATAGGTGAGAGCCTACAGGAGCCAGGGAAGGAAAGCTGCCTCTGCACATCACTGTCAGAGTGTTTATTTATTTATCACGTAACGGTAGTTACAGCTGGAAAAAGCAGGATGGGGATTGCTGCCAGACAATGTATCTAGGGAGATGTTCTGTTAGTGCCACCAGCTGTCCCCTTGGAATAGAGAGCACGTCTGAGCCATGACTCATGCAGCCAGTATCTTATTTCACTCTCACATCTATCCAAAAATGTTCCTCCATCCCGAGAATGCAATAAAAGCCTCCATTTCCTGGCAAGGACTTTTGCAGCCAGGTCTCTTCTACTGCCCCTTTGTGCTCAGGAAAGGAAAACAGCCATTTTAACTTCAGGAAAGTAGCTCCTGCTGCAACAAGAGGAACAGCAGATGACCTGCCTGGGAGATAGGACAAGGGGATACAGCACTCTCTATGTGAGATACTTATTTAAGATGGGGAAAATGTCATCAGGTTGTTCAGAGATGCCTCTAAAGTCATTGGAGAAACTCTTCTGGACTGGGATGGATGCAGGATCGGACCTTAATATCCAATACTCCAGCAAAGCCAGAAAGCTTCTCCTGGAAGAGGTGGTCATCTTAGCCTTGCCTTGCTAAGCCATCACCTGTGCAGACGGCTCTTCCAATCTTACTGCAGGTTGGCGTCCCTGTGGTCTGCTCCTCCCCATTTCTTCATCTAGATCTGCTCAGGCATTCTGGCCTCGATGTCCCAACACAGTGAAGCCAGACCTTTTAAAATAGAGGGAAACAGACTGCCAGATGTTACGGGACACATCTATTATGGGATGGAGAACAGGCTCGGGCAGGAAACCACAGCTTGGATTTGTGCCACTGAGACTGAGTCGGCTCAATGGCCGATCCTGTGGCTGCGGTGCAGGGTTGTGGTCACTCCGTTGGAGGTTTCCCCACACACGAGGTGCAGCTGCTGAAGAGGATGACCTACGAGGGAAGAGTCCGCACTACCAGCTGCGTCCAGCATGCTGGGTACGGGGAGAGGCCACGGGGCTCTGCTGGAAACGAGCACAGCTTAGCCCTTGCAGTGGGGGAGTGAACGGGGAGAGGCGAGGGGTTGATGCTCATTGAACCTGCGCGAGACCTGACGTGCGTGCAGATCTCTTGTGCCTCTTCTGTGGCTAAACAGCGACTCTGCTGTGCAGGGCGCTCTGAGCAGAACGGAATTCATAGTCAACTAAATAAACCATTAAACCAGTGGGGAGAGGGGCAGGGTGGAGGGAAGCCTCAGTAAAAATGCTGGTTGACAAGTGCAATGATTTTAGTTAACTAAAGTGCCATTGGGAGGTCCTTACATGAGCCTAGTTGCATCCCTGGCACCTCTCAGCACTCGTGCCCCAGCTCCTTCTCTGAATTAGCTGATGGAAAAACCTTTCCATCACTGGCTTCAGTCATTAGGCCCATGCACGCACCCTCTTGTACACACGTGCACACTTCAGGGGAACCAGGGTCAGTTAAAAACAACCGAAGAAAATTGATCAAAGCTTTGATTCCTATGGCTCTAACACAAAATGTCAGATTGACAGCAACTCGGTGGTGCCCCTTTATATTTTTGGCGCAGGCAGGCGCTGCAGGGGGGTGGATCATGACTATTTAGTGCACTGCCCTAGATGGAGCTTCGAAGCAGCTGGGGAAGGGCTGGATAGAGGTAGAGTCTCAGTGCCACATTCCTGAGATTAGATTAGAGCTCAGCCCTGAACCCTGCAGAGGGGCCAGCCCAGTGAAAGCCAAAGGCTGCAGGAAAGATGGGACCCTAGCCGTCAAGAGCTTCCAAAAATAAAGAAAAGTGGGTCAGAGGGACTGAAGAGGGGCTGGAATGCCTCTTTAAGCTATACGGGTAAGAAGGAAACAAGCTGTCACTCATTAAGAGAGGATTCCCATCCCCAAAATCACTGCATGAAATGTCAAAGGTGAGTGTAATTGGACAGCGGAATTGGAATTTGAGCATAGTTACCATGCAAGAGGAAAAACACTACACCTGCCCTCCAGGAAAGTATTTTAAGCTTAAAAATAAACAAAATTCTGCACCATGAAAATGAAAGATATATGTTCCACGGATAGGATGTCTTGGAACTTGTCAAATCCTTGATTGCGCTGTTGTCACAATACTCTCCATGCCAGCTGTGCCAGTCATCAAATAAACAACATCTCATCACTAGCAAACAGTGTGGGAGTAATAGGGAGGGGGGGGCTCTGTCCCCCAAGCGACTGCATTGCACTGCTGTTACTAATGAAAAACCACAAAGGATATTGCAGCACAGAAAGGCAGGCTGTTGTTAGCAAGGGGGCTTGAAAGAGTAGCCAGAATAAATTATCTGTGATAATATATTATTTATTATCTATGATAAAATTATCTGCCCAATGGCATACATTTATTTCACTTTGTGATAGTGCAGACCCCTCTAAAGTTGTAAAGAGCCGAGTACAACAGTACCACAAAGACTGAGTTTGGCCAGGAAGCAGGTATTCACACCTATTTAATTTCTACAGAGTACAGTTTATCCTCCTCAAACTAACAGCAGGTTTTCCACTAAGTACAGACTGAATACTTGATCAAATATAGCTTAATATTTCATATTTATCCAAATCTTGATGACAGTGGGTTCTGAACTAAGTGCAGAACCTAAGATACTGGAGATTTGATTTCCAATGCGCTTTGGTCAAAACATGAGTTCTGCAGAGCTACACGTTTTCCATTTACTTTCACCCTCATGGCATAGCAGGATTAGTCTCTGGGAAAAATCTTACTCAGGTTTTCATTAGGCTTGGCTCACATGGGATTTATACAAACTTTAAATGATATCAATTTAGAGTGAGAAATTGGAAGAATTTCACATAAGCCTGAAGAAAAAAAAAAAAGGAAAAAAAAAAGAGAAACACCCCCCCCCAAACATATAAAACTCTTTTTAGAGCTCATGTGAAAGCTGCATCACCCCCAAACATCCTTCTAAGTTACCACAGTCTTTTCAAGAAATCTGCTTGATACGCTGCCGAGCAAACCAAACATCCCAACCTCGCGTCAATAAAATCTTTATAGTCCTTCTCATATCTCTTTGTACGAAAGGCAGGTTCCACACCCACACTAGTTCAGGCAAATCCCAGCAAGTACCTTACCAGAACGTCTCCAGTACTCTGTCCTCGGCACGCTGCTGACACCAGTCCCAGTTATTACTGCATAACCACACATACTTCACTTCTCATCACACCTCCACCACCGGCTCTCATCTGTCTGATTCTTTGGCTCCAGTGCAACCACTCGTCCAACATCTGCATCCCCCGCAGCAGCAAAGGGGAAAGAAATACTGCAAGAATCACTAAGCCCAGCAGTTTTCAAATGCTTACTCTCACCTAGCTACGTTATCCCTCCCAGTATACTGGGCACTTTTCAAACTTTTAGGCAAAGGAGGGAAAAAATACAGAACCACAGGCAGATGCTCAGCACATGCACTTGGAATTGCCCTGCATCAGAAATACTGCCCCACTGTGAATCATAAAATATCTGGGAGAAGGTTCTGGTTTGCATTTGCACCAGTATGATCTGACACCAACTTCAACAAGCAAGATTTCACCCTGTTCAGCTCCTGCTTTCAGTGTCCCTGCATGGACAAGCAGGTCTCCTGCTCCTCTGAGCACTCTTGCTGCCACGCTCCAGGTGGCCCATGAGGCCAAATCCATCACCATTGGGGATTTTTCAGCAAATCAAATGGGGACTGCTCCTTTCCCCTCTTGTCTGTGCCAAAACAGTGGTCCTTCAAGGTCAGCAATATAATAAACTGGCAAAAGAAGGTGGATGGAGAAGGTGCCAGCTATCTGTCACGCTAATGGATAAATAGATATGTATGCTTCCAGGATTTTCCATCCGTTGCTTAACCCGCCCATGATGAAGTCGTCACTTAATTTTAAATTAAAAGGGGAGCAAGAGGGATTGCTACAAAGACCTAGAGAAAGCAAGGGAAGGAGGCGACATCTGAGAGCCCTGGGTCATCCTACCCCATCCAGCCTCTATCTTTGCTGCTTTGTTCCATATTTAGCTCCTGACAACTGTGCCTAGTGCAGGAACTCCCAGCTCTGTTTTTCCCTCCTCCCTCTGCTGTCTCCTCTCCCTTAGAACTCTCAGAAATTGCTCTTTCTTTTTCCCAGCGGCCATAACTTAATACCCCTATACTCAAGAAGATGGCAGAAAAGCAGGAGGAGCCCAGCAACGCCCAGAACGGTGAACCTGACAACGCAGAAGAGGGCGAGGAAAAAAAGAAGAAGAAGTTGAAGCGGGAAGACCTGCCACCATTTGAAATTGTGACAGGGTAAGAGGTTACGATGTAAATATGAGGGTGCAAGAGAGCGAGGTGGGGATGTTCAAAGGTCTCTGCCTCAGCTTTTATGATGGGTAATTAAAGATGGTATCTTCAGCCAGTGCACGGCTGAGTATTCTTAAACAATGCAAGTGTGGCTTTCATTAGTGTGGGATTTTGTTAAAAGTTTCGCCGAGTTTTACAGAGGATGGATTCACACCAGGCAGCAGATGAATCTGTTTGTTTTATACGAGCAGGTCTGTTTCTATAGCTTTGACTGATTCCCTTAGGGTGCAAGTAGTCCCTCTGAGAGCAATGGGATCACTTGCCTGATGGTAGCAGGATGGAAGATACTGGCCCTTGATGAGCACTGAATATTGATTTCTTGGTGTGATCAACGGCTCTTGTCTGAAAGTTTCTTTATCTGTGGATTAGGAAAAATACACCTGCTATGGCTGATTTGCTTTATGGACCTAAGGGATAGATTTTTCAAGAGAGCTAAAAGTCCACATTTACAAGGGCTCCACACCCACAGCTGGACCTGGACTTTCAAAAAAGCCCAACCCGCAGAAAGGCACCAGAACAACGGGCAGTTTGCAAGACAGCAAAGCAGCAAACAGCTCCTTTTGCTCTGGTGAGCCTGGCCTTTGAAAAAGGCAGATATAACAGAGATCTGCTAGGAAGCTGAACTCTCTCAGATATAATGGACAGCTGTAACTAGAAAAAAAAAAAAAAAAAGTGTAATTTGCCGTCTCTAAGCATTTCAAAATGCTCGTTGTAGTAGTAGCAGGATGCCCTATGTAGTTCTTTCCTCTGGTCTTTCTTAGCAGTCACCAAGGCACTGTTCCCAGAGTGTAAACCAAACCCATGATTTCTTCCAGCTGCTTGAATGTAAAGCTCGGGCCAGACTCTTAAAATCCCACTTGGAATCCTTATGCCTGTGACATGGTCACTGGCAAGAAAGATTAAAAAAAATTGAAAAAAAAATTAGCTGGCATTTCTGAAAACAATGCATGAGGCAGGACAGCACCTATGTCTGATCTCACATATTGGGTTACATCCCTGCACAGGGGTAAAAAAACCATTTTCTTCTTAAAATATGTCTGCTCTGAAAGATCACTTCTTGGGCTGGGGTCATTTGCAGCCTTTGGTCTCATACAGAATTATAGAAATAACAGATGTCTGGTAGAGCAGTGACTTTTAAGAAAAGCACATCCTTCTGCTAGGAAGAGAGCTAAGATGCCAAAAATTGTTTATATAAGCTATTGGACCAACACCACATATGGCAACAACTTCCAGGCACTTAAGACGTGCACTAAAATGAATCTCAATGAGGAAATTGGATTCTTCAGCCCTAGTGCACTCGACTTGCAATTAGAAGTCTTCAAACTTCCTTGGCGACCCCAACGACCTGGATAGGAATTGGTGTGCTAATCATGGATGAAAAATGCTTTCTTAGTGTTACCCTGCAATGAAATTATTTGACAAAATGATAAGGGTATTGCAAATTTGACAGGACTTTCCATTCTGGAAAGGCAGCAGCAAGAATGTGAGGATGACATGTGCTTGCAGAGGGAAAGGGGTAACAAGAGGAAAACTTAACGGGCTGAGGCTTTGGAGTGAGCCGCACTGCTGGAACTGCACCCGGGCAGAGAAACTCGAGTAAGAGCAGCAGGTGATGCAGGGAAGCCTCGAGTTAAGGTCTGTGCTATGGTATCTACATACGTTAAGCTGGTACCAGCTGATTTTCACATTCCATAGGCTGATACCAAGCAAGACAGGAGTTTAAGTTTCTGAAATGAAAGTACTCGGACATTTGGTGAGGGACCATAGAGCTGTCAGTTTGTGAGGATTTATACTGTCCTCATCATGGCACTATTTGGAAAGCACTTATAAATATCTGCTGAATTCCTGTAGGAACCATGACCAAATCTCCCCTGATGAGTTGTTTATGACTAATATGCTGGCTATTAAAGATAAGAATGAAGAAGTAAAGCAGAAATCCTAAAGGACCCTGAAAGAGGTACAGAAAAATCCAGCAATTTTTACTTTCATTTTAAGAAGTACCCTGTGAGTTTAGACTGTGCCTCAACCTGGTGTGATCACTGTTTGGATTTTTCTAATTATTTACAATTTTTCAGCCAATAAAGCCAGTTACGTGAATTATGAGCAAACACATAACTGCAACTGTGGAAGCACTTAAATTCAATTACACTGCATCTCAGTTTTAGTCCTTGAATTAGGGGCATCTTAAGACACATAGCCAAGCCTTCGAGCTGTTGCCTAGAGCCCTAAGGAATCTGGTTTACACAAAAAATACTCGGAACCTAATGACTCTGTTTAAGAATATTAACCCCTTTTTTGTCAACATTTGGCTCAACACAGTCCTGGTTAAACAAACCCCATCTGTGTACATTTCAGGACATTTAAGTAGATACATTTATTTACACTTTCTCCAGGGTATAAATGAGACTCCTTCTAGCAGTGATAAATCCTTAGTTCCTGTTACAATTGATCATTACAGACTTTCTGTAATCAATGAGCCCAGCATGAGTGTGTGTGTTTGTGAATACTTGTCAAAGAGCAAGCAAAAGGCCACTTATCAGCTCAAATAACCCAAGATCATTGTATAAATAGTAATTGAACAAATACTTAAATCTAAAAAATATGTCTGGCTAGTTTATAGCATTTTCTAGATAATCCCACATTTTTATTCTCTCATTAGAAGTTCTAATTGTCTTCTCCTCCCCAGCATGCAACAAGTTGGGCAGCTGCTGTATGCCTCCAGCCTACCTCGTTTCAGCAAACGTAAAAGCACATTATGTGTTTGGTCCAGGACCATTCTTACAGATGGAGGTTTCTGCCTCAACAAGTAAAAGAGGGATAATATTAGCATTTGTACACCACCCGTCATTCAAACATGGAAAAATAAGCTTGCCAAGAATTAGTCATTTACTCAGGAACAGTCAGGAAGCTAGATCTGAGTTTCCAAAGAAGTTGGCTTAGAGTTGACACAGCTATTTCAGGCATGTGTTTTGATGTTTAGTTGTTTGGAAAGAGTTTTAATCTACCCAAATAAACAATACAATTACAATGCTTCACTTTGAGATAAGTTATGAGGGTCACCTGCCAAGCATGCTGTAACCCAGAGGTGAGATTACGCAGCATACGACATTTAGGTATGTAAGCAGTCGTATGGTACATACGCCTTGTTCTTGCCCATTCTTTCACTGCTGAATCACTCACTACAGGGCTTTCCAATTACTCGGAGGGTTGGAGACACCTTGCCCAAGTCCTCACTGCTGGGAAGTCACAGAGCGAGGCCTCAGCTAAGCCCTGACAGGACAGAAATTTACAATTCACACTTGTGCCGAGATGTCCTCCCTGCTCTGGTTTACATGGGATTAAGCAGATTCTTGCTAACTAGTGCACACAGCTCATTGGGCGCCTATGTATCCATGATCCGCGAATTTTCCAAGCTCTCAGCCAGCTACTTACAGACTTGGAAAATGCCCTTAGCTTTGTTTATATTCTTTATCGGAAACTTATTAATTAAGCTGATGCATATCCCATGTTGCTAGGAGGACAGATTTAGGTGAATATCCCAGATAATCTTAGACAGACGCCGTGATGCTAAGCAATAAATTCCGTCTAGAAGGCCTGACTAAATACACCACTGAGTCAATACATCCTGGAACAGATCGCTGCAGTTCATCAAAACATACAGACTCAACCTCATCACTGACGTAACCGCTCTGCAGCTAAGGGAGTTAAATCAGGCATGAACTTCCATGTGACTCTGATGTGCTACCTTTAAATATGATGTTATTTTAAAACAACTTATTGTAGCCTTACGAAGTTAGCTCTGAAGCAAGGCAATGGGTGGCTTACGTCAGGCCCAACATAGCTGGACTTCAAAGAAATAATGAATCAAAGAATCATTAAATCATTAACCAAAGAACCATTCCTTATCTAGGATATAAAGCAGGAAAAGCACTATTCTTGGAAGCATGTGAGGTTTTTTTTTTGTCTCAAAGAACAACAGAAAGGAGTTCAGGGAATAAGAGGTACTATGCTAAATTAGAGTCTGATAACGCTCTTTAATCAGTGAAGTCTTGCAGTTAATCTTAAAGAAAATGAGACTCGCTCTAATAGGTAACTTTAAGTCATCTAATGTAAGGGAACAGAGGTCAAAATGCTACAAAAAGGAAGTTAAAGCAGCCTTTCTGGGTAGTTCAGAACTTGTGCAAGCCAGTGCAATTTTCCCTTTCTAGGCTTGTGCAAACTCTCAGTTGCAAACTAGAGAACCATAGACCAAATCCTATCAAACCAGCATGATTGATTTGCTCATTAATCAAAATAAAAGTCTGTATCCACACTGCTGCTTCCCGCCCCTCATTAACACACCTCCAGCTAAAACAGTAATAGCATGGAAGACCCCTAAACAGGCTTTTCTGTTAAGTGCAGATCTCATCTAAGTAGAATTGAACAATATAAGGGTTTAATTATATCGTTTAAGAAGCAGCTGAAAACCTGCTTTTAGTAAAATTTCTAAAGCCAAACTTGTACTCTAAACTTCCACTGTCACGACGCAATGATACGTGAAAAGAATTACGGTGGTCCTTGACTGACAGCAACAGTAGATATTCCCAGTGGAAATGCAATTCTATGAACAAAATTGTTCTGACTCGTTCATCTCGTGGCATTTGGAAGACTGATGATCTTCCGCTCTCAGTGCAAAGCACAACTGTGCCAACCTACCCGCATCAACTCTCACCCCATTTGGCTGCTACAGCACACGGATATTCCAAGTGAAGTTGTTCATCTGTAAAATCATGCTGTTGGGAAATCCAAAACAGAAGTGGGAACTGTTAACTCCAGGCCTTTTACTGCAAATCTGTGTAGCAGGCCCAAATGGACCCTAGATACTCCTGTAGTATCATAAAAAATTTAAATAGAGAGGCTGTTCTTTTGTGGTTTAACTTTCTCAAAAGCCAAAAATGCCACAGGACTTCGGCAGCAAGAAAATTTCCGGTTGCATTAAGACAAGTATGGAAAATACTGAAGATACATACCAGAGAAATTTCTAAAACTTTGTAAGTGGAATTCAACATTTAAGGAACATTGTATTTAAACTTACAAAATAACACAACTCAAGAATCTTGACAACAGCTATAATTTACTCTATGTATTTAGACAGCACACTATTTCCAATTCTTATCTAAGCAAAAAGCTATTTGCTTGTAGTATGTAGTGTAGTATTTGCAGCAGGTATTACATGAGGAATTCCTAAGTGCCTGTTCCAAGGTCTTTCTGTTCAAACATTCCTGTCCCAATTCCTCTGATTTACACAGAATACCATGCTATTTGGGGTGTTCCATGCAGTCCTAGCAAAGCCTGATCCATCGCACTCTGTAGAGACATCCACTAATTTTAAAAGGCATCATATCAAGCTCTTCACGAACAGTCCTTATTCCTGACTTGCAACCATCCCACATTTTCACCATGGCCCACACCAGCATTTACCACTAGCGAGCTGACAGTACAGTCACGCGTGGTTCTCACATTACGAAGTCAGCGTAACATTCTGATTTTGATTCTCTTCACTCTTTTCCATACCCTTCTCCTCCGCTGTCTCTGGAGACATCTTGTGAGGTGTTGCATCACAAATTGTTCTTTCTTCTCAGCAGAACGACGCTTTGCCACTTACTCCTGCAGCCTCGTTGCTGTCCACAGTTAAAATTTCCAAGAGTCTGAGGATCTCTCCTGACCTTTGCTCAGTGTACCCCCTGGAGAGGCCTGGCATTATAATCTGACTGTAGATGAGACAGGGATGAATGAGACACTTACTGTTTTACAAAGATTCGTTATTGCCTCGCTGGGAATATCAAGGTTATAGGTCCACCTAAAGCTCAGATGAGAGGAATACAATATGCCAGAAGGTTACTGGTGTGTAATAAATGAAACGTTGTGTTACTTTTCACTGTTTCACTTCAGCTTTGGCTACTCTGTGCAGTCTTTACTCCCACCCTTTTCAGCACTAGGCAGGTCACAGGGCATGTTTGACAGCAATATCTTTTTCACCTTTCCACCTAACATCCTTCAAGTACTCGTCCTTGTACTGATGTACTGCATAGTTAGATGCTACAGGGGGCAACCAGGAAACCACCATTAGAAAGTAACAAGTACTATGAGAAGATGCAGCTTTCCTTTTTCACCTCTTCGTTCAGCATTGCATAAAAGCTATACACAGTATCTTAAGGGACTGATTTTAACTTCCCTAGTAACAGCAGACTACCTTCTCTGGGTGAAAGAGAACTACAAACACATTACTCACTGCAATGATTCACTTTGGATTATGCTCATTTAGAAACCCAGAACGGAAGAGGTGCACAACATTAAAAAAAAGTATCTCAAGTTCATGAGTAATATCCATGAGACAGCTATCAAATTTCAGTGGGAAATACACTTTTTCGTAGCAAAGTTAGATTTTATCTCAGATGTTTTATTAAATCAAAGTCAAAACATAATCCTGCTGAATATTAGTATTCAGCTGACACTGGAAGAGTAAAACTAAAACACGTAAAAACTGCAACTAGTCAGTCACGCTTGCCTCTACTCAGAGGAAATCCAGACTGCAAAAGCACTGGGGGTACAACATTAATTAGAAATGCCAGAGTTATCATCCTAACAATTTAGGACAACAGATCCTGCAGATTAACATTGCAACACCACACAGAGAGAACTGTATTAATGGCCTAGAAAACAGTAGAACAGTGTATAGGTACATCAAAACTGGGAAAATGCCAATTGCTGTCCCTCCTTACCAACAGTAAATATAGTCTTAAGAAATACATTTCAGAAGCAAGTTCCTCTGCAAATACCTCAATGGAGGTACCAGAATTTTAACAAACTTGTACTGGGAATTTAAGTGAAAAAGACTAGGTAGTGAGAGCGGGCCTGGAAGCCTCAGCACGCAGCAAAACTAGCTGAATAGCTGGTAATGTAAAATGTATTTTCATTCTCCTATTAAAAGGCATCTCCTTTTAATACACGTAGAAATACAGCCATCACAGATGCAGCAACTTGTCCAAGATCACACAGGAACTAAACCAGTGCTGTAACGCTTTATTATCTGCCTCTGAGATGCTTCTCTCCTCTCCACTCTTTACAGGGAGCGTCTCCCAGCCATATTTTTCAAATTCCAGTTCAGGAATGTGGAATACAGCTCAGGCAGGAACAAAACCTTCCTGTGTTATGTTCTCGAGACCCAAGGCAAAGAGTCAGTGACTTCTCGGGGTTACCTGGAAGACGAGCACGCAGCCGCCCATGCAGAAATGGCTTTCTTCAACACAATTTTACCAAAGTGTGAATCAAGCCTCCGTTACAACGTCACCTGGTACGTCTCCTCCAGTCCCTGTGTGACCTGTGCTGATCGGATAACTGAGACCCTAAAGAAGAACAAGAACCTGCGACTGACAATCATGGTAGGGCGGCTCTTCATGTGGGAAGAACCAGAAATGCAGGCTGCCCTGAAAAAAATGATATCAGCTGGCTGCAAGCTGAGGATTATGAAGCCTCAAGACTTTGAGTATGTCTGGCAGAACTTTGTGGAACAGGAGGAAGGAGAGGAAGCAAAGGCTTTCGTGCCATGGGAGGACATTCAAGAGAACTTCCAGTATTATGAGGAGAAGCTGTCTGAGATTTTGCACTGAAGCTCACGTGAGTGAGGATTTCCACTTGGTCACCTAGCTCCTTGTATTAGTATTACAGACTCCTCTTTTTTTCTTCAGGCTGTTAAAGGCAAACCCCAGAGCCAATTTCAGTTGCTGTTACTCTCATACATACCCAGCTGGGTTTGCCTGTACCTGAAATACTGCAAACAATCCTAGGCAGTAACGTAGCCCTTCAAGGGCAGTAACACTACAGTGGGCTCCACCACAGCAGACATGCAATGGATTTAGTTTTTTTTCTTCTCCTCAGAGTAAACACCTCCAGGAATAAAGAATAAAAAGGTACTAGGATCACTAGGTGCAACAAGAATACCTCATTATTCCCCCCATGCACGATATTCAGAACGCATGTGGAAACAGTGGGAATGTAGAGCCTAGCCCTCTAGAAAAACAGCCAACCACTAAAGGAAATCACAGTTATCATTGCAGAATTCCCTTTTTTTTTTTTTCAGGGATACCACAAAGTCACCTATTTAAGCCATAAAACATGAAAGCATTTGAAGCTTCTAACATGTCTCTCTTTCTCCTTCCCCAGGACCAATTCAGAAAAGATCTACAGAGAGATGCGACAAGACTCGGACATCAGGGCCACTCCTGCTTTCCAAAGCCTGGATTCCAGCAGGATGGAGTACCAACTTCTGGAAGACTAAGCCCTGATGGACTACAAATACATATACAACACAGATCTTTGCTGTTTGGCGTTTTTTTTGGTTTATGTTGTTTCTCCCCCCCACCCCAAACAAACCCATGCTGCCTCTGCTGACAGGAAAAAAAGGCGGCAACATATGGTGTGGTTAAACCTTGAATGAAAGGGATTGCAGGGGACCTACAGGAAAGAGTCCAGGTCTCACATATTGGTACTATTTTTTCAAGAAAAGATCTTAGAACAAAGCTGCCAATTAGATAAATGTGTTTAGAAAGTACATACTTCATACATGTTAAAAAGAAAGGCATTTAAGGCAAAAAAAAAAAAGGTTTTCTTTCTCTGGCCTCCTCATTAATCAGAGCTGTGATTTAAATTAGGGCTAACTGGTCTGTGATGGAGCCCCAAGTACTTCATTTCAAATACATCAAAAACCTTCTCCCCTTGTTCAATGATGTTTGTGATATAAAACCGGGAAAAGCAAAGTGAAATAAAATTGGAAGTCACTGCAAAAGCTATAGCACTGTTTATTCCTTCTTCTCTATTTGCAAGAGGTCCTAAATTTAATCTGACAAGTGAGACATCCTGGGACAGCCACGTATGAAATATTTCGTAGCTGAAGTGCAGCATGACGAGAAGGGAGAATTACTATATGCCAAAAAAATTTCAAGAGTACATACAAGTGTGGGAGACAGAGAGAGAGAGAATATGGGCATATCACTTTCCATATAAAACAAGGCACAGACCAAACAAGGGTCACAGGGACACTCATCGGCTAAGAAACTGAGTCAGATAAGGGTCATTCTTCCAATCAGTTCTTCATGTTGGTTTCTGCCTCACTGTCACAAGCTAGAATGGTGCTAGAGATGCACACATAAAACTCCTGACCGCACCTGTCTCTTACCTCAGTCAGCTGCACTAAATTCTGGCATAAATTTTCAAGGCAGAAAAAACAAGCAGCAATGAGAACACCTTTGTGGAGCCACTGTGGGTTTCATCTCTTTGCCACTAGATTTAAAAAATGCAAATAAGTGTAAGGGCTAAATCAATGAGCAGTCTTGATGCCCGCTCTTGATCAGCTTAATACTCCAAGTTCCTATTTGTCTTACTGAGTTTATTTTTTTTTTTCAGTTGTGTACTTAGCTACAACAATTATCCACCAAAACCAAGGTTTATAAAGGATGGTTGACAAACAAGGAGAGTAATAACATGAAGCTCTTAAAGACACAGTCAGGATTTGCAGATCTGCATCAGCAAAGAAACCACACAATACAGATTAACCCACAAAGCTCAGAACAGAAAACGCTCCACCCATTCAATTCACAGTAAAAAGCAATAAGGACTCCTTTATGCCAAAAAAGTAACTGTTACGTCCCATCTTTTAGGTTTATTCAACGTATCTGGCATTTTTCTGCCATTCAATATGAAGTAACTCAAAAAGATTTGTTATTACGGAGGGTGGGGAAAACCAAACATAAAGGAGATGCAGACCACACTTTCAAAAATCAAGTGTTTATCAACGGTCTGATGAACTGTGACTAATTTGCTTTCGCCATTGGTGCATCAAACACCAACCTACATACAGCAGCTAAACTACAAATGCAGTAAAAAAAGAACTATGGAAAACAAACCTTGAGCTCCATACTATGACTTTTTACAGCACATCAGTCATTCACAGGTGTGGATTCTCAGAAAACTGAGCCTGCAGACTCTACCAATTATACACTATAGAATGCACCCACAAGGCGTCTTTACACATCTCCAGCATTCCCCCTCGAAACCCAGCTTTCCTCTAGAAGAGAGCCACAACACATACAGACGTAGGTATGTTTTTCAGAAGGACTGTGCTCTGATCTGACAGCAGAGTACTGACAAGCTATTTATTTCATGTTGACAGCATGATTCTTAGTGAGTACAATCTCGTAACAAAAAAATTGTATTTGTGGCAGGAACATAGAAATTAAATTTTTAACCCTGTAACGAACAGAGTAAGTGAACTCTATGCCAGAGATGAACATTGCAAAACTTTTGAAAAGTCACAGGGCTCCAAAGCTCATCATTATCAACGGCAACTACAAACCAACAAATACCTAAGCAACAGACAGCTCCAGTTTCACTCTGCACAGGAACTGTCAGCTTTAAGTAGAAACTCTAGTGCAGGCAGGTGGTCCATGGAGGACCAGTGACATCTGGTGGCTTGCTGGGACAGACCAGGAACTCCCAGAGCGTTATCACAGCACCCTTGCCTTCTTCACAGGCTCCCTGAACACTACATCCCAAATTAGCTGCTCTGGAGCCCTTTTTTTTTATTTGTTGTTGTTGTTGTTAAAAGCCACTGCTACTGACAACACAAGAGTGAGCCACGCTCAGACGAAGAATGTGCTCAGCATGCGGTTTCCCC